TGTTTGTCCTTCGTTGTTGAAGAGGACCAGGACACCAGGGAGGTGATGCCATGACATGCAAGTGAATTGGGTTTAAGTGAGGAAGGGCTGTGCAAAGTCACCAGCCCCACTTTCTCCTCCAGCCACTGGGTCCAGTGGCAAGATATCCATCAGGACTGCTGGAGATGGCCCAGGATATAGTGCTGGATCTGGAGTTAGGAAGACCAGAGTTCAAATCCAGCCCAAGGTAATTCTTAACTGTGTAACCCTGTGCAAGTCACTTAACCTCTGACTGCCTCAGTTTCCTCATTTATAAAATGAGGATTCTACCACCACTCACCTTGCAGGATTGTTGTGAGAATCAATGAGATGATATTTGTGAAATGCTTAACGTAAATGCTCTGGGTCTTTGTCCCATTGCCTATCCATTTCTTTCTCTGTCTCTCTGACCTAATAAACTCCTTCTGATTCAACTGTCATATCTCTGCAGATGATTCCCAGATCTGCTTATCTAGCCCTCATTTCTCTTATAAGCTTAACATTTATACCTGAAAGTCCCATAGATGTCTCACCCTTGGCAAGTCCAGAACAAAACTCAAAAACTAGTTTTCCCCCTAAACTCGTGCTGAAATCCTCCCTTGCTGTTGATGGGACCAACATCCTTCTAGTCATTGAAGTTTTCAACCTTGGTGTCTTTTCCCATGATTCCCTCTCCCTCACACAATAACAATAACGATGATGATAAGTGCATTCATGTATTTCTTTAACATGTACAAATCACTTTACATAAGCTATCTCATTTCATTTTCAAAGTAACCCTGTGAGGTGACTGTTGTTATTATTCTCACTTAACAGACAGGGAAACTAAGGCTGAGGGGGATTAAGTAGCTTGTTCAGGGTCAGGGAGCTAGTTAGTGACCGAGGCAGGATTTGAAATGAGGCCTTTCTGTATCCAAGTCCAGGAATATCCCTAGTCGGCCCCTAGCCACAAGTTATAGATCTTGTCATTCTGTCTCCCTTACGTTTCTCATATCCAGTCCTTTCCCTCCACTCATACCACTCCCAGGACATTCCACTTCATCATTACCCTTCACCTGGAAAGTTACAAGTCTGCTTTTTAGTCTCCTTCCCTCATGGTCCATTCTTCATTCAGCCATTAAAGTGATTTTCCTAAAGTACGGTCTGACCACATCACTTCTCTACTCAGTAAACTTCCATGGCTCCCTATCACCTCCAGAATAAACACAGAATGCTGCTGGGCACTCCCAGCCCCCTCCTATCTTTCCAGGCTTCTTAGACCTTCTGCTCCAACACACACTCTTAGGTCCAGTGACACTGGCCTCTTGGCTATCCCACAAGTGAGACCCTTCATCTCCTGACTCCCAGCATTCTCTTTGGCTGTCAAAAAGGCCCGACATGTTCTCCCTCTTCTGTTCAAGCTGTTGATGTCCCTGGCTTCTCTTAAGTTCCAACTAAAATCCCATCTCCTATGGGAAGCCTTTTCCAGCCCCTCTTGATTCTGGTGTCTTGTAGTAGTATTTGTCGTTGTTCAGTCGTGTCCAACTCTGGAACTGGGGTTTTCTTGGCAAAGATACTGGAATAGTTTGGCATTTCCTTCTCCAGCCTATTTTACAGATGAAGAAACTGAGGCTAACAGGGTTAAGTGTCTTGCCCAAAGTCACGTGGCTAGTAACTGTCTGAGGCCAGATTTCAACTCATGAAGATGAGTCTTCCTGACTGAGGTCCATTGCCCTGTCCACTGTGCCACCTAGAAGCCTGTGATTCTAGTGCCTTCCCCTCTGTTAATTATTGGGGATGTATGGGGTGGTCAAACAAGACTGACACCTCTGATGTGAGGGCTTGCCAAGCCTTTTGCACAACTACTCACCCACCTTTGGTGTCCACCTTTCACCCAGCTCTCACCTGTGGCCCCAAGAAGCTGTAGCATGCACAGCAGCCACACTCTAGTAAAGCATGTTGGCCGATGGGCTAAACCAGCTTGAAGGTAATTGCCAGGCCCCAAACCCATCAGTGGGGTGGCTTCAGAAGCATGAGAAGACTTTCCCAGTTAGAATGAGTGGATAGGAACAATTTGTTCCAACGGGCTTTAGGGTGGCTGAAGCAGGCACTGTGGAGGGTTTAGAGCTTTGTGAGACACCAAAGATGCCAAGGTCATCCACTGCATCTTGGGCCATTGCCAGTCACCTTGACTTTTGTCTTGCCACTGAACTTTGATGACTCTGGAAGAGATAGTGAGGCTGACAACTTTGCGCAGCAACTCTGCCTCACTTAAATCCAATTCACACAATAGTCAAGATATCCCCCTGTGATGTCAGTGGTCCTCTTTGAAAACGAAGGACGAGCAACAACCATCTCCTCTCTACCAGTATCATAGATTGTTTATGCGTATTTCTTTGTTGTCTCCCCCATTAAGTTGCGAGCTCCTTGAGGGGCAGGGACCATCTTTTGCCTCTGTTGGTATCACTAGCCCTTAGCATATTACGGGGAACACTGTAGGTGATTAATGTTGATTAAATTATTAATAAATACTCATTGACTTAAGTTGTCAGAAGATTAATGAAGTAAACTATCCATGGGCTCAGCCCCAGACTAACTTGGGGGGGATGGAGTGAGTCGAAGACAAGGTAGTAAATTTTAGGATGTTTGCATTTGCCTTTGGGGAAGGGATGTCTACACTGATGAAGTCTGGGCTCTTGGAAACATTGACGGAAGGAAATGATGAACCAGCCCTCAGAAGTAATAAGCTTTCTTTGTCTCTGCTGTCATCATCGTTCTAAAAATTAAAGTTCACGGAGGTCTATTGCCCTCCCCACCGAATTGTCTTGTAAATACTTTGTGTGTGGTCTAGGATTTCTCTGTGTACTCCCGTCTTGGCTTCCTCAGGAGAACATGAACTCCTTGAAGCCTGGGATGTTTTTCTAGCAATCTTTGTATCTCCATCGCCTGGCAAAGACCCAGCCATACAGTATTGGATTGACAAATGTTTATTGATTAATGTGTGCTGATTGAAAAGTTGCTTAGGGATCTGCCACGTGAGTGATGGCAAGTTGACTTCCCCTGTGCAGATGGCAGCCCTTCTACAGCCTAGCAGACAGTCATCTAAGTGGTGGCAGTGACCAAGTGCTATATTGATCACTGGGTATCCATCTTGGCAAGAAGCCTCACTGGACTTTGCTACATTGGTCTTGGGATAACATCAAGTTCCTAGTCCCAAGTGGCACAGTGGATAGAGTTTGGAATTTGGAATCAAAAATATCTGAGTTCAAATCCTGCCTCAGACACTTGCTAGCTGTGTGACATTAGGCAAGACACTAAGCCTCTCTCAGCCTCAGTTTCCTCATTTGTAAAATGGGAATAATTACCTTACCTACCTTGTTGTGAGCTTTAAATGAGATAGCATACAGACCTTGCAACATTCTATAAATCTGTGCTCTTATTATGTGTGGGGAGTCCAGCGCAGGACCCCTGAGCGAGGTCGGAGGTCCTCCAGAGCCCAGGGCTGCCTGCATAACCCAAGAGAGAGTCAGAGGAGGGGCACATCTGTGATGCACTGTCTAGTTTGAAGGAGGGAAAATACAAATGCACAGACACACACACACACACACACACACACCTAGGGGACCATTTGGCATGTATGTGCCATTTACAGGCAGATGACAGCATGATGTGACAGAGAGGCCAGCATTTCTCACTGAACCCCTTCTCTGAGGCTTTGGCCACAGGACATACATCCCACAGTTCTTCTGACCATTCCTTTTCCAGCCTGGTTAACCCCAGTGGGGTGTCAGGACAAGCTCATTAACACATTCTGAGATTTATTGTTTTGGCTTTGAATGAAGATAATGAAGATTTTGGAAGCTGCTTCAAGCACTTGTATCCTGCCTTCATCCCTGCATTGCATCAGCAGAAGAAAATCCCCCTTAATCTCTTGCTAATATAATTAGGTTAATCACCTTGTTTTAAATGCATAATCCCATTACAATGAAATAGGGAGTCAGTAGGCGTGTTTACCAGGCTCCTTAAAGCCCTTTCTTGGGGGATGCCCCATGGAATCTCCTGGCTGAGACCTTGGGGAGGAGCAGATCCATTTCCAAGGACAGTTTCCAAGCAGTAGAGTTTCTTAATCCTGCTGCCGCCCCCCCCCCCCACACCTGACCAGGCAGAGATGGTAGTCACTCACGCCACTGATTGCTGCTACTTTGTCCCTCCTGACTGCAATGTTAGTCAGCAGAATAGAGAATCCTTGGAAGGTCCACAGTGGAGCAATGGAGAAGATGGACATTTGGGAAAATTGAACAAAAGTAAAGGGGGAGCTTTTTTTGGGGGTAAAGGGGAAGGGGGAGGGGGGGAGAGAGAGAAGAAGAAGAAGAAGAAGGAGGAGGAGGAGGAGGAGGAGGAGAGGAAGAAGAAGAAGGAGTTAATAGTTTTGTTCCAGCATATGGAGGCTTATTAGATTATTAGATAAAAATGCCCTTCTCCCCAGACAATAGAGCAAGAAGAAATAGTGTTTAAAGTCTAGCATGAAGGATCTTAGCTCAGTTAGGATGGAATGTTGGAACGTAAAGGTAACCAAGCCAGGAATGGATTGTAGTGTGTGTGTGTGTGTGTGTGTGTGTGTGTGTGTGTGTGTGTGTGTGTGTGTGTGTAGCTGGGTCTATTGTGTGGAAAAATGAGAATATCAGCCTTTTGCAGGCTCCTTGGGGTGGGGAGGGAACTGAACTGATATTCTGATTACCTACTAAATGAGAGAGAACCTCAGAGAGAAGACACTAGTTGGGGTGGGGGCAGAAAGGGCCACCTGTGAGAGACTGGCTAAGAGCTGAGATTGAAGGAGTCCAGGAAAATCAAGAGACAGAGGCGAGGAGGCCTGGACCTTGTGTCCTGCCCAAGTCTCTTTGAATGACCATGTGCTGTCCTTGAGAAAATAGTATCGTTAGGCACATTGCAGAGGTCTCTCTATTCTGGGTGCTGAAAATATCTGTCTTTGTGTTTGTGCACAGGATCTGCATCTCAGGTGGAGAGTCACCTCATGCCTCTGCTACCTGCTCAGGTCACGAGAGTCACTGCTGTGGCTACACCTGCGGTGACCTTCATGACTGCCGATCTAATGGAACAGGCATCACCAGGTAGGTCAAGTGGGCTTTCCTAATCAGTTGGAAGCTTGGGCTGTTTGGCTGCCTTTATTCTCCTGAGGATTTGTAGCCCACTCCCAGCCCCACCCAGAGCAGATTTCTGGTCTGCACTTCTGTCTGAAGCAGCACAATCCATATCAGCTTGTCTAGGGCAATGTAGCCTATGCCTTGCAGCAAATGCAGTCGCTAACCCAGCAGGAAGTGGGCTGAAAGGAGTTTGATGAGCTTCTGGGTCTTCATCCCCTCCCAGTTCCTGTGCTAGTAGATAACACAGGTGCATTATAACTCTTACCACACCTGTGTCTCTGCCATTCCACAGATTGATTTCTTTTTTGGGGAATCTGATGTCACATGGCTCTATAATGATCTCTTTTACTGAATATCTTTCAGACTGTCTGCCTAGAGACAGAGAGTAAATCATGGAGTCTACTTTCTGGGAATATTAGCACAACCTTGAAAGCCTAGCTGAAGAATTATCCATTGGCATTTCCCTCTAGCCTGCCATCCCCATAAGTGCCTCCATCACACACCTCAGGAGTGAGAAAGACGCTTTCAAGTAGTGACTCAAGCACTTCTAAGGTTACTTGGCCATAGGTCGTGCCCTTGTGGAAAATTAAAATATGGTAACAGGCGTATTTGTGATTGGAGGGTCAGAGGCATGTGGGATCTGGTAGAGTTGGTAGTGCTTGGAGCCGGGGTCAGGGGACTTGAACCTCAATTCCCAGTTCCTCAGTTTCTCAATTCCAATCTTTCCTTGCTACAATATGGATGTGAACTTGTGACTTGCTTTTCTCATCTGTAAAATGATGAAGCAGGCCTATATGATTTTTAGAATTTCTTTTATTTCATTAAATATTTCCCAATTACATATAAAAAATTTTTAAATCATTTTTAAAATTTTTGTTTTCAAAATCTTTCCCTCCCTGCTGCCCTCCCCCTCCTTGAGAAGCCAAACAGTTTCATATCAGTCATACGTGAGAAGTCATGCAAAACATATTTCCTTATTAGCCGTGTTGAGAAAGAAAACAAGCAAAATTAAAGAATAAAGAAGCATACGTTCAATCTGCATTCAGTTCTCTCTCTTTTTTCATCATGGCTCCTTTGGAATTGTCTTGATCAGAGGAGCCAAGTCTTTCCCAGTCGATCATCATTACAGCCTTGTTGTTTTGCTCACTTCACTTTGAATAAGTTTACGTAGGGTTTCCTGAAACCATCCTGCTCGTCATTTCTTATAGTACAATAGTGTTCCATCACAATCATATGCCACAAATTGGTTAACCATTCCTAATCGATAGATATCCCTTAGATTTTTAATTCTTTGTCCCCACAAAAAAAGCTGCTCTAAATGTTTTTGTTCAAATAGAACCTTTTCCCTCTTCTTTGATCTCTTTGGGACACAGACCCAATTGTGGTATTGTTGTGTCAAATGGTATACACAGTTTTATAGTCTTTTGGGCACAGTTCCAAGTTGTTCTCCAGAATGGTTGGTCTAGTTCACAGTCTCACTTTCCTACATGCCCTCGATTTGTCATTTTCTTGTTCTTTCATCTTAACCAATCTGATAGGTTATTTTAATATAAAGTTATTTTAATTTGCATTTCTCTAATAAGTAGTTATTTAGAGAATTTTTATATGACTATTGATAGCTTTGATTTCTTCATCTGAAAACTGCTTATTCATATCCTCTGATTATTTATCAACTGGAGAATGGCTTTTATTTTTTATAAATTAGGCTCAGTTCACTATATATTTGGAAAATGAAGACTTTATCAGAGAAACTTGCTGTATTTTTTTATAGTTTTTTGCTTGCCTTCTAATCTTGGATACATTAGTTTCATTTGTGCAAAAGCTTTTTAATTTCATGTAGTCAAAATCATCTACTTTACATCCTGTTAATATTCTCTCTCTCTCTCTCTCTCTCTCTCTCTCTCTCGCTCTCTCTCGTTTGGTCATAAACTCTTTTATTATCCATAGATCTGACAGGTAAATTTTTCATGTTCCCCTAATTCACTTATAATAGCATCCTTTATGTCCAAATCATTTACTCATTTTACCCTTATCTTGGTATATGATATGAAATGTTACTCTATGCCTAGTTTCTGCCTAATTGCTTTCCAGTTTTCTAGCAATTTTTGTATAATGTTGAGTTCCCACCCCAACAGCTTAGATCTTTGGGTTTATCAAGCACTATATTACTTTGGTCATTTCCTACTGTGAATTGTGTATCTATTCTATTCCACTGATCCACCACTTTATTTTTCAGCCAGTAGCAGACTGTTTTGATGATTACCACTTTGTAATATAGTTTGAAATCTGAAACTGATAAACTGCCTTCTTTAACATTGTTTTTTCAATGATTCCCTTGATATTCTCGACCTTTTGTTCTTCCAGATGAATTTGGTTGCTGTGTTTTCGAGCTCTATAAAACAGTCCTTTGGTAGTTTGATCCTAAATGATTTCTAAGGTATCTTCAAGATCCATTTCCCTTCAAGGAATCCTATGACATGATCCCCTAGAATCAGCCCTAGACAAAAACAATCATTGTTTTCTATGCCCTACTTTCTACCTTCTTTATATGGCCTCCCTGGACTATCTCATATCTAAATTGTTGTTTATTCATCTTTCAGTTGTTTCGGTTGTGTCCAACTCTGTGAGACCCCATTTGGGGTTTTCTTGGCAAAGATACTGGAATGTTTTGCCATTTCCTTCTCCAGCTGATTTTATAGGTGAGGAAACTAAGCAAATAGGGATAAAAGCCCAGGGTCACACAGTTAATGTCTGAGACCAGATTTGAACTGAGGAAGATGGGTCTTCCTGACTCTAGGTCTGGTGCTCTATCCATTGAGTCACCTAGCTGCCCCCTATGTATAAAGCCACCAGTTTTTTGTATGCTGCTTCCTAGAGGTTCATCTGAGGACAGTAATACCATTTTAAAAATAGAGATCAAAACTAATTCCATGGTAGGAGAAAGGATGAAATGAGAAGGCTGGGTATGTCATTGAAATAATTCTCATCTGACTTGGTTAAAGAAGCTATTAACTCTGGGGAAAAATAAACAGGAGGGGGAGTAAAATAACAGACCTCAACAAAAACTACCTCAATTTTCTATGGAAATTCAAGTCATGTAAATAAAGAAAATAAGAAGACAAAAGAAAGGTAAAATTGTCGGCTACCAAAATCCTGATCTTGGTTTCATATACAGAGATTCAGAAGTCAAAAGCAACACTATTCTAGAATAGAAATGTCCTTGGAGTGTCCTTTATAACAATGAAAAGTTAGGAGAATGAGATTACTGAACAACCTTGATAAATGACACAGTGAAACAGATAATTTTGTGAATGTTTAAGGAAGTCACTTGAAGGGGGTTAATAAATAGATAGAAACTGGCAAAAATCTGTTAAAGTCACAAATGTAACCAAATGTCATCTCCATTGATAAGTGTCGTCACTATGTTTGGCTTTTAATACCATATTCCAGAAACTGTTGCAAGAGGAAGTAGAAATAGACAGAGGAAACAGCTTAGAAAAAAAAAATCAACAAACAACAATGATAACAATTGGGCTAGATCACATGTAGAGAAAGGAGGACTGTGTTGGAGGTGACAAATTAGGAGATAATGGAGCCAGATTTGGAAGTGACCTCAGTTGTATCTTGGCACAATAAAAAACAGCACTGACTCTGAAGTCAGAGGTTTGAGTAATCACCTTCATGAAAACATTTCCTATGTGATGTCGAGCAAGTTACTTCATCTTCCTGAGCCAAGGTTTCCTGGTGTAAAATGCAGGGTTTGGAACAATTCACTACTGAGGGCCCTTCCAAGCCTAAATCTGTGATAAAATGAGTTCTATGGACCATCTAGTCCCACAGATCCTTGAGAAAACATCTCCACCATAGCATATCTGATGAGTGATCACCTACATTTTCTGGAAATCCTCAAGGGAGGAGAATTCATTACCTCCTCAGGAAGATTGTACTTTTAGATTCTTTTAACTGTTAGAAGAATATTTCTTATAACCAGCCTAAATTACTTTCTTGTAACATCACAGAGTCACAGTGGAAACCATCACAAAGGCATCTAGTATGATTCCTATGTAAAGAGAGATTCTTACTACAACACATGTGTCAAATGATCATTCAGTCTCTACTTGAATACCTTCCATCTTTATTTAGGGGGGAGATGGGAGCCAAAACACAAAAGCCAGGACACTGCACTTTGTAAACGTTCTAATTTTAAGATGTTGTCACCTTCCCCCCTCTCTTTACTGACATCTACTTTCAATTTCTTCTTCTTCTTCTTCTTCTTCTTCTTCTTCTTCTTCTTCTTCTTCTTCTTCTTCTTCTTCTTCT